AAGTCTTTTGGGGTTTGTCCTACTTAAAGAAAAGTGGCCAGGCTGGGCGGGTGACCCAATAGTCTGTCCCCTAATACTTTTAGGTCATGCCTGCCTCTTTGGGGGAGAAGAATGTTCCAGGTAGGTGTAATAGATGGGTTGCAAACATGGGCCCAATTGTTTGCCCACACCCATCCAGGCCTCACAGTACAGCACTGCTCCTTTCACCAGAAAGCCATTGTTCTGAGTCTAGCACCTAGGGGGCCTTGACTCACTGGCCTCCTTTCTTGGCGTTCTGCCTCTGCTGTGAGAATTAGCCCAGGCTACCCCTGATGGATGCGATCTCAGTGAAGCCAATTTAGATCAGCTCTGAAAACTCACCAACACGAGTAGGGCTACCCTGGGCTACTCTGCACCAGCCTAACTCAGATGGGATCAGCTGAATCAGATTGAACCAGCAGAGTCCTGCCTGGGCCAGCTGAGGCCAGTTTAGGACAGAGCGCTCAGCCTGGATCAGCAGAGCACAGTGTACAATAGCTGAGTCCAGGGCAGATCAGTGGAGATTAGCTTGGATCAGCTAAGCCCAGGCAAGAGTAGTTGAGCTCAGTATGCACCAACCAAGCCCATTCTTGGTCAGTGAAGATCAACCTGGATCAACTCATCCTTGCCTACAGTTTGTGAAAAAGAAACTCTTTCAGCCTCTATTGCAAGGTGACTGTCCCAGAGCTGATGGAGGCTTCCTGGTAACTCTCAGGACTTCGTAGGTCCTGAGGGTTTCCTTGTATGGCTTCTGTGCTTCAGCGGCTCCAGAGCTCAACTGCCATGACCACAACTCTGATTCCAAAGCCCCCTTCCAGAGGAGGAGGTGCTAGTCTTCAGGCAGGGACAGACCAAAGCAGGCGACTTCGGAAGGGAGGGGGCAGTGAGAGATCCTGACTTGGTTGGACAGCTCAAAATAGGAGTTCCTTAAAGAGAAGAAAAAGCCGGGCGGTGGTGGTGCATGCCTTTAATCCCAGCACTTGGGAGGCAGAGCCAGGCGGATCTCTGTGAGTTCGAGGCCAGCCTGGTCTCCATAAGCGAGTTCCAGGAAAGGCACAAAGCTACACAGAGAAACCCTGTCTCGAAAAACCAAAAAAAAAAAAAAAAAAAAAGAGAAGAAAAAAAAAAATTAAGAGTCCAAATTGTAGGCTATGATGTAGTACAATTGGTAGAGCGCTTTTGGCCCACGTTCTCGCTTTGGTCCCTGGTAATTCACAAAAGGGTAGTGGTGGCACCTTCGATAATCCCAGTGCAGGAAGCTGAAGCAGGAGGGACAGAAGTTCAAGGTCATCTTTGATGCTACATGTTGAATTTGAAGCTAGTCTGGGATACATACATAAGACTTTGTCTCAAAACAAACAAAAAAAAATCCAAGTTCTATCTGCAGAATTAAAGAATAAAATAGTTCAAAGTGGTATTCTAAACAACATCGGGCCTCCACCTCCCTCCTCCCCACCTTCTGCTTTCCACATACAGGAATTTAAACAAACAAACAAACAAACAAAACAGCTTACAGCCAGGCATGGTGGCACACACCTTTAATCCCAGCACTGGGGAGGCAAAGGCAGATGGATCTCTATGAGTTCGACCCCAGCCTGGTTTACATGGTGAGTTCCAGGCTGGCTAGCTAGGGCTGCACCAGGAGACCTTGTCTCAAAGCAAAAACAAAAGCAAAAACCAGCTATCAAGAGCTGGGGATGTAGCCCATTGGAGAAGGCAAGTACTATCCCACTTACCTCAGCATGCTCTCAGCCCTGCGCTCAAACTCCAATACCGCAAAAACAAGCATCATCAACTATGTCTAATGGCCCAAGTCACACAAGCAAGTCCTTGCTTCTCTCCATGCAAGATTTAGCTCATTCACCCCCTTCCCTCCCCCCACACCTGCCCTCTCTCTGACCCTGCCCCGAACCCAGGATCCTGGAGTCATGATTTAGTGAGACTGATATTTGCTTTTCATTTGTTTCTGTGACTTAGAAACTGCTTTTCATCGTGGAACTATGCTGACCACTCCACCCTCTCTTATTTTTTTTTTTGTCCTTCCCCTCCACGAATTTCCCAATAATGCCAGGAGCCCCAGGGGGCGGGGTGGGGTGGACTGGGAAAGGCCAAACTCTTCCTCCACCTCCATCCTCACCCTGAGACCAGACCGGACTGAGAGGTAGAGACAGAGAAATCCAGGCAGGCCCTGCCCTCCTGGGATCTGAGGAAGTCACAGTCAGTCTTGAGGAAGGAAAGATGGCAGGTCAGGGTTGGATCTCATTGCCAAGGAGGGCTCCAAGCAGGACTTTCTTCTGCTACTGCATCAATACTTTCTGTTGCTGTGATAAAACACCATGATCAAGGCAGCTTATAGAAGGAAGAGTTTATTTGAACTTAAGGTCCCAGAGAGTTAAGAGTCCATGGTGGGGGTTGGGGATTTAGCTCAGTGGTAGAGCGCTTGCCTAGCAAGCGCAAGGCCCTGGGTTTGGTCCTCAGCTCCGGGGGTGGGGTGGGGTGGGGTGGGGGGGTGGAGTGGAGGCAGCAGGTGAGGTGGCTGGAACCGCAAGCAGGAAGCCTAGAGGGTGCACTCCAAATGGTGAATCTTTAAACTCTTAAAGCCGGCCTCCAGTGGACCTGCTTCCTCCAACAAAGTCACACCTAACCCTCCCCAAACAATACTACCAGCTGGGACCAGATATCCAAATAGCTGAGACTATCGGGGACATCTCATTCAGACCACCACAGCCAGTAACCTGATTTCCACAGTGCCCACACCCCCAGACCCAAAGCCTGCCCTCAGATACCGTCCTCTTGGCAGCTTCCTTGGGGTTGCTCTCCTGCTTTCCCATTTCAATGGGGCTCACACTGGGGCCACAGACTCGATACATGTGTTACACGCGATTGGCCATGCCTCTCTTTCCCGCTTGACTTTTCCATTGGGAACACACAAACTGAGATGCATGCTGGGGTTCAGTGCTGGAGTCTTTTCTAAATGAAGAAGCTGCAGCAGGGGCTGGGGATGTGGCTCAGTAGGCAAGAGCTTTTGCTGTCCAAACATGAGAACCTGGGTTTAATTCCTGGTACCCAAGCAAAAATAAATTAAATAAACAAACAAACAGTCTTAGCTAGACATTCACCTGTAATGTCTGTGGAGGAGGTAGATGGGGGATAGCTGGGGTGTCCTGCTGCCAGCCTAGCTCCAGGTTCAGCGAGAGACCCTGTCTCAAAGAAATAGGGGGGGGGCGTGATTGCGTAGGACACCGACAACCCCCTCTGACCTCTGTACATGCATGTGGGCATGCACCTGCACACACACGTGTGTGCCCACCGCATACACACACAAAGAGGGTGCAACAAAATTTCTTCAGTTTGGACAAAGTGAAGAACCCCTTTGTTGTGTGTGCCTGTGTGAGGACGTCTGGGCTGTAGGATCCCCTCCCCCAATTCCTGTGCATGGGAGAGTTCAGGGATAAGTAGTGGTAGTGGGCAGCCCAGTCTCTGTGGCTGGTATGAAGTGCCCGATGGTTTAAAGGACAGTGGGACATTACTCAAAGCTACAGAAGGACTCAAGAGAGATGGACGCTTCCATCCACACCAAAACCTGCCCACTGAGGATTTTAGCATTTTTCATTATCACCAAAGACTGGATCAATTCAAATGCTTCTTTCTTGGTGGGTAGACACACAATGATTTGTCTACACAAGGGACCATTACTGAGCAAAAAAACAGAGGAGAGACTATTAACATGCTCATCAACATGACAACACCCCAAATTCATCATGTCAAGTGAAAGAAGCGAAATGCAAAATCTGTACCCCAAGATTGCATTCCTGCTGGACAGGAAACAGGTGGGCTGCTTTAGTGCTGTTTTGGGAAGAGGCATTCACTACAGAGCGGCAGAGGTGGGTGTTTCTTCAGTGAAGGAAGTGTTCTATAAAAGGATTATTGTAGTGGTTACATACCTCTATGAATTTGTCAAAATTCTTAGTTATACATTGAAAAAAACTATATATATATGTAGATATATTTATTTATACATTTATATGTATGTAAGACTTTGCACAACATGCAAATAACAAGGAAAAGATATATTTGGGCCTGGGATGTAGCTCAGTTGGTAGAGTACTTGTCTAGCATGTATGAAGCCCTGGGTTTGAGCTCTATATCACTATAAAAATGGAGTGTGGTGATGCATGCCTGTAAGTCCAGCTCTCAGGAAGTAGAGACCAGAGGATGAGGAGTTCAAGGTCACCCTTGGTTGCATAACCAGTGAGTGTGAGGTCATCCAGGGCTAATATGAGACTGTGTCCTGGGGGGCATAGCTAGTGTAGTGCTTATAGTGATCCTCTAATGGGAAGGTCACTGGGGTGGGATGGGGGAGAGGGAGGAAGGGCAGGGAGAAGGTCAGAGGAGGGGAGGGAGCAGGGCTGAAGTCCAGTGTCCTAACCCGTGGTAAATCTGAACAATGGGCTTTATTGTATGTGGCCCAGCCTGCTTCAGAGGCTCTGAGGAGGAGGGCTAGCATGTCTGTCTGCTTTGCTGTTTTGTTTTAGACAGGGCCTTATTATGTAGCCCATGCTTACCTGAAATTTGTTATGTTGCCCAGGCTAGCCTTAGCCAAAAAATTCCTTGGGCAGCCCAGACTGGCCTTGGTCTTCCTACTTCCTAGCTTCTTCCTTGCTGGGGTTTGACCTCAGGGCCTCCAGTATCCTCAGCAAGCTCTCGACCACTGAGCTGCGCGCCCAGCCCGAGGGCCAGCGATTTGGTGCGTTCTGTAGGTGTGTTACAGACGTCACGATGGAGAGGGTCTCCCCTGTCACTGCTTGGAGACACCGCCCCCTCTACTGCACCCTTCGAGTGGTGGCCATTTCTCCTGACCTAAGAAGATACAAGGAGGGGAATCATGAAGGAGTGGAATAGAGCCCCGTGAGAAACCGAGTTTCCTAGCTGTCTCTGCCCATGGCCTCCTCTACCTCGTCTGCAAAATGGAACCACCACAGCCCACAATTTGCTGGGCCCTGTGAGAGTGAGGGAGCACTATGGAGATGTGGAGATGTAGACTTGGGGCTCATCACCAGCAGGCCAGGCCAGGCTTGAATCCCCCCCCCCCCCCCCCCCCCCCCCCCCCCCCCCCCCGAGATAAGATTTCTCTGCGTAGCCCTGACTGGCCTGGAATTTCCTCTGTAGACCAGGCTGGCTTTGAACTCAGAGCTCCACCTACCTCTGCCTCTGCTGGGATTAAAGACTGGTGCGCTACCACCCTCACCCAGTCTTTCAGTCTTCTGTTTGCTTTTTAGAGACAGAGTCTTGTTGTGTAGCCCCACTGGCCTCTTCCTCCTCCTGCTTCAGGCTCTAGAATGCTGTGGCTTCTCTGTTGTGTTCCACGGCTGCCTATGGTGTTTACTGATTGGCATAAGTATGGCCCCATGTAATATTTGATACCCACAATATCACACATCAGATATTTCACCAGAAAAAGTGTTCATTTATCTACAATTCAGATTAAGCTGGTCCGTCAGTTTTTACCTGGCAGGGGACACAGATGGGTGACAGAAGGGAGCTAAGTGGCGGAGGATGCGGGGTAAGACACATCTTCCCCTCCTCAGCCTCCCCTGAAGCATGTATCACTTGGACTTGGCCTGGCGCCTCACCTCCTCCAGGCAGCCTCCTGGCTTGTGAGTTCCACTGCTCCTTTAGTCCCAGCTCAGGGCTGCCAGTGTCTGGAGACTCACTCCTTGGCCCCAGGCAGCTGCTGAGGTGCCCTGGGGTCATTTGTGGAGTGTGAAGACGGGGCTGAGTGTCTCCATCCTGGCAGCGGGGACAGCGTGCACGGTGGGTCTTCCTTTCCTGGCTGGTGGCTGAGTGGCAGCGTTGCTCTTACATAATCGGTCTCTCTCCTCCTTCTTTTTCCAGAGCTAGACTTCACACTGAGCAGCTGCAGTCGGAGAAACCAGAGAAAGCGCCACCCAGCCCCAGATTCCAAGAGGCCTGCTGGGGACTCCCTTCTCTTCCTCCTCCTTCTTCTGAGACCCCAAAGCCACTGTTTCACACCAGCTCCTGAGCTACAATGGGACTGGCAGCCACCGCCCCCTGGCTGTCCTCCGCCCTGCCTAGCAGATAGGGCGGTAGCTGCCCCAGGAGTACCTGCCCCCTCTCAGCCTGGGCCAGCCCTTCCTGACTTGGTGGCCACCTTTGCTGACCCGAGGCCATGTAGGTCCTAGCTCAGGCCTCTGGACACACTGCTGGGGACAGTGCCTCTGCTCTCAGGGGGCACCCAGTGCACCACCATGCTCTGGGGACTCGCCTGGTTATACTGTGAGTACTGGGGGGAGGGAGGGCTATACCTGGGGATCCTGTCCTGGGAGGCCTTGGTGGGTGGGTGGCTCTACTGTAACCATAGCAACCAGGGCAGTTCTTGTTGGTAAGAAGTTGAGATGCTTCCAGAGGGTTGCAGGCAGCCACGGGGATGGGGGGTCCGGGGCCACCCTCTGTTCTGCTTGCCTCTGACCTCAGGTTCGGATGTACAAGCTGAGTGGGTGCAGCCGATGCAGGATGGGGCAGGTGCTGGGGTGGGTGGCAGCTTCTTACCTCTGCAGTTTCATTGGTTCTAGGGTGCAGGGTGGGGACAGAGGTTGTAGAGAGAGGATTTCCATCCTCCTGGGTGTGGCTAGTGGGGGGTAGGGTAGGCACAGAACCTGGGACTGGAGCAGCCTGGAGAAGGAAGTCAGCCAGGCCCCCTCTACCCCCTCCCTCCATATCAGGTCAAAATTAAAAAGCAGACAGAAAATCATGTTCCTGATTAAAAAAAAAAGAAAAAGAAGTTGAAATAAAGACAGAAATCAGGAAAGGACCTGGTAGGATGTCTATGCCTGCTGGGTGAGAAGCCAGGCTGAGACTCTCAGTGGCAGCCACAGGGCTATTGGAGAGTCATCCTCATGACAAAGACCTGGCCTGCTTTGCACCCCTCATCCCCACTGTGAAGTTATTTACGCTAAATAAATGAGGGCAGGGGCTGGGACCCACAAGTCTTCAGAGAAGAGCTGGGCACATTCTATCCCTGGTCACGGGTACTTCAAAGGGTGGAGGACAGTCAGACCCAGTGTTCTGGAAGCTTCCACATCTTAACGGAACAGGCGTAGCAGCATGGGTGAGGGTGTTCTTGAGGAGGACTCGAAGGATAGGTGGTAGTCACACTGACAGGTGTAGGGTGCTGGCAAGAGTGCTCCAAGCAGAGACATGTGGGCATGTGGTGGGGCTGGGTGGGGCTTGGCAAGTTCCAGAGGCAGGGTACCAAGGGATTAGAGAACTGGGGGTCAGTTCTGGAGTCGAAGTGATTGCATTTAAAGATTCAGTTTTATTGTTTGTAATGATGTGTCAATGTGTGAGTATGTACATGAGTGCTAGTGCCTTTGGAGGCCAGAGGTATTAGATGTCCTTGGAGCTGGAGTCACGGCCACCTGATATGGTGCTGGGAACTGCACCTGGGTCCTCTAGAGGAGCCCTGAGCCACCTCTCTAGCCCCAATGGGTACATTTATTTACTTATTGTGTTGGAGTGTGTCTTTCTGTGTGTGTCTCTGTGTGTGTGTGTGTGTGTGTGTGTGTGTGTGTGTGTGTGTGTGTGTACCATTACATGTGTGTGGAAGTCAGAGGAAGGAGAGTCTGTTCTCTCCTCCCACCATGTGGTCTGGGGATTGAGCTCAGGTCCTCGAGCTTGCTGGCAAATGCCTTTATTGGCTGAGGGGATGTGAGACCGGAAAGGATTGCTAGCAGGAGGGGAGCTTCAGATGGCCTCTCTCAGGACTTGGCAAGGACTGGCTGTGGGGAGAGGTTGGCAGGGCAGGGACCACCTTGCAGGGGGGCTGAGGATCCTGGTGGATGTTAGGCTGCCTTAACATGTCACCATGAATCTGTGACTCAGCTCCGTCAATGTATTTTCTCCTAGTTCTGGGGACTGGAGGTCTAAAATTGGGGTCACTAGTCACCATAGCTTGTGAAGGCTCTGGGGGAGGGTCTTCCTGCCTCTTCCAGATTCTGGTGGCTCCCTGAGTTCCTTGGCATGTGACAGCATTGCCAATTTGCACACCACGCCCATCTGCAAGGCCTTTCCCTCTGCCCCGAGCTTCCTCCTGGAACACCAGCCATTGGAGCTAGGCTCTCCCTAAGCCCAGCATGACCTCACATCAAGAGCCTTTGTTTTAATTACACCCGCAAAGAGCCCATTTCCAAAAAAGTCATTCTGAGACTCCAGGTGACTAAGAATCTGGGGGGAGGGGTGCTATTAAACCATTATACAGGCTCACATTGGTCAGTGGGGATGGGGGTGACGAGCCTCACTTATCGCTGCAGAATTGGCTACTTTGTTTGGGCGCACAGGTCGCCTCTTCCCCCACCAGTGTCTGGGCCAGGGCAAGTCTTCCACCGATTCTGCCTCCCGGTGACAGGAAAGTCTCCAGACCAGGCTGTGGGACACTGGCTGTGTCTCCTGGGATGTAAAACGTGAGGGTGACAGCTAGTCTCGAGCTCTCAGCTATGCGGTCCCTGCCTGGTCCCCAGTTTCTCCTAGTGGAGGGCAGCAGAACATACACCACGTAACAATTAGAAACAGTGGCCTGGCCGCAAGTGTGTTTAATCTAGGGGAAGGCGGGTCACCTAGGGACAGGCTTTTCAGGGGCCGCCAACATGGCTGCCATGCCAGGCTCAGGTGCTGCGGTTATTCTAGGACCGTGTCTTAGTTTGCCTTTTTCTTTTTCAAGACATTTTTAGTTTTCATGTTTCTCTGTGTGACAGCGCCGGCTGTCCTGGACCTCACTCTGTAGCCCAGGCTGGCCTTGAACTCACAGAGCTCGGCCTGCCTCTGCCTCCCGAGTGCTGGCATTAAAGGCGGGTGCCAGCACTGCCCGGCTTCAGTTTGCCTTCCTTTGGTGTGATAAAACACCCTGACCCAAAGCGACTTGGTGAGGAGAGGGTTGATTTCATCTTGCAGCTGAATTTATCATGAAGGGAGGTCAGGGCAGGGGCTGAAGTAGAGGCCATGGGAGAGTGCTGCTTACTGGCTTGCTTTCCATGGCTTACTCAGCCTGCTTCCTTATACACCCCAGGGCCACCTGTCCAGGGGTGACACTTCCCCCAGTTGGTTGTCCCACCCACACCAATCTTTAAGCAAGAAAATACCATAGAATTGCCTCCAGGCAATCTGGTGGAGGCATTTTCTCAGTTTAGGCTCCTCTTCCCAGATAACTCTGTGAAGCCTGTGTCAACTTGACGAAAAACCAACCAGGACAGACCTGGCTCCTATCTTGAAGACACATTTGGTAAAGCCAGAGACCCTGCAAAAGAACAGAGTCCTTGGGACAGCCTAGAGTGAGCGCTAATGGGAAAGAAGACCTATTTTGGATAGAAACAAACACCTCCCACCCCAAGAGGGAGATTCTTTTTTTAAACAGTGCAATCCTGTGGACCAGATGTAGCTATTGTGACACCAGTTTGCAAGCGTCACTCGGACTCAGGGTTCCCAGTGGCAGTTGTCTCAACCAGGGGTGTGCTGCAAAGGTACCTTTTCTATCTGTTGGAGCAGAAATGTGGGCGGTGGAGCTGGGCCACCTGCACCTCAGCCAATCCCTGGGGAATTCAGAGGCCTGACACTTCCATTCTCACCTCTCCCTTCAGGCACGAAGCTCAGTCCCCAGGGTCCTGCTGTGGTTACAGCTTTAGTTCTCCATGCCCCCAAGACTCTATGACCTGGCCAGGTGATGAGTGACCCTGGCTAGTGGTACTGGTGGGGACATGCAGGGTGGGGCAGATCAGGAGCCCAAGGGTGGTCTAGGTGTGGGTGTTCGAGGCTTGGTGATGTAGGGACCAAAAGCAAGCCCATGTCCAAGGGCCCAGGGCTGTGCTCATTTATTTATTTTTATTTACATTTCTTTTATAATTTATTTACTTTGTGCAGGAGGAGGTTTGTGTGCCATGGCACCCATGTAGAAGTCAGAGGACAGTTTGCATGTGGTTCCTGGGGATTGAACTCAGGTCGTCAGCCTTGGTAGCAGCCCCTTTACACACTGAGCCGTCTTGTCGGCCTAATAGTGGTTGTGTTTATTTGTTCCTGCAGCCCAATACTGTGTTAGGTGCATGGGAAAGATTGATTCTTGCAAACTTGCCTCCTGTAAGAAAGTGGCCGTCAGAGCTCTGCAGGTCGGGAGGGCAGTAGCTGTGGCTCGTGTGGAGCGCAGGGTCTGAGGAGACCCGAGCATCAGGGTCAACGGTGCTCCTGGGACTTGGTCTAGCAAGTGGGAACAAGCAGGGTGGGCTGGGAGGAAGGGGAGAAGCTAAGAGGGAGCAGGGCCCAGGCCAGTGGAGATACACAGACAAAAACCTTCACGGGGGCAGGAAGTGGGTGGGGAGAAGCCTGTTAATGGTGACAGTTTGTGACATCCTGGGGAGGGGACCCAGCCTGCCTGCCCGCCTTGACAAAAAGGAAAGGAAAGAAAAGAAAAGGCAAAGGACGGGAGGCAGAGCCAGGTGAATCTCTGTGAGTTCGAGGCCAGCCTGGGCTACCAAGCGAGTCCCAGGAAAGGCGCAAAGCTACACAGAGAAACCCTGTCTCGAAAAACGGAAAAAAAAAAAAAAAAAAAAAAAAAGGCAAAGGACAATTACTGGTTTTGACAATAATAATAATAATAATACTTATCTGGGCATGGTGACACACATCTTTAATCCCAGCACCCAGGAAGGAGAGGCAGGTGGATCTCTGTGTGAGTTAAGCCAGTCTGGTCTTCACAGAAAGTTCCAGGCTAGCCATGGCTGTATAGTGAGACTATGGGTTTTTTTTTGTTTGTTTGTTTTTTTGTTTTTAAGACACTGACTGGAGAACATCAGAAAATGTCCCAGAACATATGGATGAGTGTAATAATCTCCCACAGAAATCTGGCATATTTATTTGCATTTTATTTTCCAAAGCATAGGAAATCAATGAATAAATCTGAAGTCGTCCTAAGCATCACTGATACTCTTGGCTCATGCTCCCTTAAGAGGGTCGTTAAGCATATCTCAGGTATTACCCATAACAAATATATCACCATGAGCAGTCTCCCCCATAAATAAATAAATATTAAAAAAGGATAATGATGCTGCATAAATCTTTGTCCATAAATCTGTCCTGTTTTCTTTCTAGTTTATGAGTTTAGTCGGTCAAAGTCAGTGGGTCAAAGGTTGTAGAGTTTAAATCCATTTTGTTATTAAATGTGCCAAGTGTATTTCCAGGCTGGGAACTCTTTTGGCAGCATCAGGATTATTAAAATGAAATTATCTCATAAAAGCCTTTCCATTCCCTTGTCCCTGGGTAATCCCTGGTTGGCTTGGTGTGTATCTCTGGTTACGGATTGCATCCACTTGTTTTCATCTGAATTTATTTCTCTTAATAGTGAGGTTAGCCCTTTGGGTATTGCTTCCTCTTTCCTGTTTCTCTCATCCACTTGACCCCTACTCATATTTAATGTACGTTCTCTCAAATATTTCTTTCTGTTCAAGTGTAGAGCCCGAGAGTTGTTTTTGAGGCTACAGTGACACCTAGTGGTGATTTCTGGTACTGTTTCAAGAGACTGCTCTTTATTCGTTGTTGAGACAGCCGGTGTGTGAGGTCTGTTTAACATCCCAGAGCCATTAGTTTGGAAGGAGCTATAGACCTGCTGGTACATCTAATGGAGACGAATACCAAGGTCATATAGACGATAGAAGAAAGTCTCTGGGTCACGAAAGCCATTTTAAGACCTGGAACTAGAATTTGTATCCAAAACTCTGAATGGAAAATCAAGTAACAGCTTTGAAACCCTGTCACTCCAGACAAGGAAGGGACTGGGGGTGTCCTGGAATGGGGACATTGTACTCACTCACAAAGCAGGAACTAGGGGAGATTGGAGACCAGACTTTGGGTGTCTCCCTGGGGACTCTGATGACCAGGGGTAGGATGTGCCTACATTCCAGGGCTCTGTGCAGCTGCCTTTCCCATCAGTACTTGTCACCCTTGAAAATGGACGACAGTTGACACAGCTCTGGGAATGCAGACACAGTGCCTGTGCTCATAGGCTCTTGTTGGGTATGGCCCACAGGTCTTGAGATCCTACTTGGCATGGCTTTGGGGAATGAGAATTTGGAGATGTGGACTCTGACCCAAGACAAGGAGTGTGACCTTACAGGCTACCTTCGGGTCAAGCTGCAGTACAAGAACCGGCTTCAGTACATGGTAACCAGAAGAGCACCAAATGGATCCCTAGTCCCAAGCCCCAAGGCTCACCTGGAGCTGCGCTCACTTCCCACCCCAGATGTGTCAGCCCCGAGGTTATGGTACCACTCTCTCTCTACCTTTGTCTACCACGTAACCAGTGTTTGCAAGCATATCACCTCCCACCATCTCCCCGCCCCCTTCACTGACCTACAAGTCTCCTTCCATATGGCTTTCATCCTATAACTTGGATAAAGTCTCCAGGGATTTACTGGGGGAGTCTTAGGTACTTATTAGTAGAGGAGACAAAGACATTGAAGTCAGGAACTATGTTTCTTTTTGGAGACTGGAGATGCCACATGGTATTGCAGGCTTTCTATATGACAGATCTTTGTTTGCTTGTTTGTTTTTCCTCTTTCTTTCTTTTTTTTTAAGATTTAATGTATCCTATGCCAGCCTTGAACTTACTACATGTAGAGCATGGCCTTGAACTTCTTTTTTTCTTTCTTTTCTTTCTTTCTTTCTTTCTCTCTCTCTCTCTCTCTCTCTCTCTCTCTCTCTCTCTCTCTCTCTCTCTCTCTCTCTTTTTTTTTAAGATTTATTGCCGGGCGGTGGTGGTGCATGCCTTTAATCCCAGCACTTGGGAGGCAGAGCCAGGCAGATCTCTGTGAGTTCGAGGCCAGCCTGGGCTACCAAGTGAGTTCCAGGACAGGCGCAAAGCTACACAGAGAAACCCTGTCTCAAAAAACCAAAAAAAAAAAAAAAAAAAAAAAAAAAAAAAAAAAGATTTATTTATTATGTGTACAGTGTTCTGTCTGCGTGTATGCCTGTATGCCAGAAGAGGGCACCAGATCTCATTACAGATGGTTGTGAGCCACCATGTGGTTGCTGGGAATTGAACTCAGGACCTCAGGAAGAGCAGCCAGTGCTCTTAACTACTGAGCCATCTCTCCAGCCCCTTTTTTGGTTTTTCCGAGACAGGGTTTCTCTGTGTAGTTTTGGTGCCTGTCCTGGATCTCACTCTGTAGCCCAGGCTGGCCTCGAACTCACAGAGATCCACCTGGCTCTGCCTCCCGAGTGCTGGGATTAAAGGCGTGCACCACTGCTGACCTTCTAATCCTCCTGCTTCCATTTTCTGAGGGCTAGGACCACAGACGGGTGCTACTGCACCTGGTTCATGCAGTGATGAGCCCTTGCTCGAAGCAAGTACTCCACCATCCCTAGTCCTTGTTTTCCTTTTTTGAGACAGGGTCTCATTATGTTGGAGAGGTTGGCTTTGAACTTGAGATCTTCCTGTTTCAGCTTCCTGAGTGCTAGGGTTATAAGCACAGGCCCAGCTCTTTAGGACTGTCTTTGAGTCGACTATCTTTGTTGAGATGCCATTCATATTCCATACAACCCACTAACCGAAAGCGTACAACATGGACTGGTGAGAAGGCTCAGTGACTAAACACCTGCTACACAAGACCGAGAACCTGGGTTCAATTCCCAGAACCCACATAAAGGTGGAGGGAGAGAACCGACCTCACTATCAGTGCCGAGGCATGTGCATGCCTGCACACACACACACACACACACACACACACACATTATTAATAATAACAGTAAATAATAAGGTGTCAGACTCACTGGCATTTAGTGTGTTCACAGAGCTGTGCGAAGGATATCTTTGTGAGCATCAGATGAACCGTATTCCTCACCCCCAGAGTAGTATGTCTTCCTGAAAGTCCTGAGTCCATACCATGGGCCTGAAACTTCAGCCCTTACAGAACTGTGCATCTCATTTCTTCCTCCCTCTGTCTCAGGGGAAAGAGAACTGTTTTCTTGATAGAGGACCTGTTTCCTGTCACATAGGCTGGGTCCCTCTCTTGGGGGTCTTGTCTAAGCCATTTCTGCCTCTGATCTTAATTATGCTTTGTTCCTTCCCAGAAACATTACTTCCCCATCAACTACAAGATCGCTGTGCCTTATGAGGGGGTACTCAGAGTCGCCAACATCACGAGGCTGGTGAGGATCCCTCCCGGGATGGGGAGTCTCTGCCTTCCGTGATGCCCTCAGAAGTATGTGGGTCCTTGGCAGGTTGTCCTACTGACCAGTGGCCATTCCCTAGCCACTCACACAAACCTGTGGCTGACCTAGGCCCAAGGTTGTTTGCTGGCCACAGTGGCAGTGGCAAGTGCGTGGGGTGTGGCCACAGCCCAAAGGCCTAGCTTGCATTTCAGTGATCTCTCCCGTCCCCGCAGCAGAAGGCCCGTGTGAGCGAGCGGGAGCTGCGGTATCTGTGGGTCTTGGTGAGTCTCAACGCCACGGAGTCCGTGTTGGATGTGCTGCTCCAGGGACACCCATCCTGGAAGTACCTGCAGGAGGTTCAGACATTGCTGGAGAATGTTCAGCAGAGCCTCATGGTGAGCTGTGTGCATGCATGTGAGGGTCTGACAGATGCAGGCAAAGGGCTGTGAAGGGGAAGTTCTGCCATGTGCTGAGGATATGGGAGACATGAGGGATGGGGCACAGACAAAGTAACCAAGGAAGGAGGAGGTGCCAAGATGTACCACGAGCAAACGAGCTGAGATGGAGGAACTTGGGACCTTGTTTCAGGATTACATGAGCTCTCTCTCTCTCTCTCTCTCTCTCTCTCTCTCTCTCTCTCTCTCTCTCTTTTAAAACTGGAAATATTTTGATTTTATTGTGATCATGTATTTTATAACCCATTGAGTCCAATTAGGGCTGCCCACCGAACTGTTCACTAATAATGCTGGCTTGACTTTGTACAGCCTTGTGCAG